TGGCCACATACCCTCTACAAACCTCTCCCTGCCCTCTGACCACCCTCTCTCTGCAGGGTTCTCCTTCTCTATGCTCTCCATTTCCTTTGGCCTCACCGTCGCTGCAGGCTCCGCCTTCTCTCCTGGACACGCCCCCTCCACAGACCCCACCTCATCTGGCCACACCCCCTCCACAGGCCTCTCCCTCTCCGACCCGGTTCTTTACAGAGGTCCCACCCTCTCTGGCCTCACCACCTCTGCAGGCACCTTCTCCCCTAACCACGCCTCCTCCACAGACTCCAATTTCCCTGGCCACACCCTCTCTACAGGCCACACCCCCTCAGGCCTTCCTCCCAGTTCAGGCCCCACCGTCTCTGCGGGCCCCTCTCTCCCCTCCGGCTTCACCACCTCTGCAAGACCCTCCCACTCCCTTGGCCACTCCCCCTCCCCAGGCTCCACCTTCCCTGGCCTTGCCTCCTCTTCAGGTTCCTCCCTCTCCCCCTGCCTCACCCCCTCCGCGGACAACTCCCTCTCCCCTGGCCACACTTTCTCCTCAGGCTCCACCTTCCCTGGTCTTGCCTCGTCTCCAGGCCTCTACGCTCCCTTTGCAGGCTCCTCCCCCGCCCCTGGCCACGCCCCCTCACCAGACTCCACCTTCCCTGGCCCTACCTCCTCTGCAGGGCTCTACTCTCCCTTTGCAGGCTCCTCCCTCGCCCCTGGCCACACCCCCTCAGGCTCCACCTTCCCTGGCCTGGCCCCCGCTGCAGGTCCCTCCCTCTCCCCTGGACTCACCCCCTCTGCAGGCCCCACGCCGCCCCCCGACCCCAGGTCCCGATGCCCCGATCCCGGGCCCACGGCTGACCCTGGCGCTGGCCCCGGCTCCGCCGCCACCGCCCTCCCGCAGCCCGTCCAGTACGCTGAGCGGCCCGGATCTGGCGGGCCACAGCAGCAGTGCCACCAGCACGCCGGAAGAGCTGCGCGGCTACGACAGCGGGCCGGAGGGCGGCGCCGCCGCCTCCCCTCCCGCCGACGCGGAGCTCGCCGCCTGCCACCCGGCCTCCTGGAGCCGAGGTCCCCCTCCGCCGCTGGCCGTCCGCAGCACCCCAGGTAAGCAGCCCCCCGACCTCGCCGAGCTGTGGGAGGAGCGAAGTCCGGGGATGGTAGGAGGGCGGGGTGGGAGGCGGGGCTTTCCAGCTCGCGGGCAGGGCAGTCGGGTCTGGGGCGGAACCGGGAGGAGGGGCGGGGTCTTGCGGAGGGAGCCCAGGTGCCCGCCCCTTGAGCCCAGTCCAGCCTCTCTCCCCGCAGGAGCGCCTCTGCCTTGGCCTCCTTCTGCCGGGTCAGGCTCCGCTGACGGCCTGTGCACCATCTACGAGGCAGAGGGGCCCGAGTCGGCGACCCCCGCCCCAGACGCGCTGGATTCGGGTCCTGGGCCCGGCGCGGGTGGTGGGAAGGTCGTGGCTGGAGCAGACGCGGGGGCGACCTCGCGCGGCGCGAAGCCGGCGCGCCTGGGCGAGCTGCCGCTGGGGGCGCTGCAGGCGAGCGTCGTGCAGCACCTGCTGAGCCGGACGCTGCTGCTAGCTGCGGCCGAGGGTGCCGCGGGCGGCAGCGGCGGTGGCCCAGGGGTTGCGGGGGCTGGTGGCGTCGCGGGGGGTGCCCGGACTGCGCTCAGCGACGCCGAACTGGGCCGCTGGGCTGAACTGTTGTCTCCCCTGGACGAGTCCCGCGCCAGCATCACCTCGGTCACCAGCTTCTCCCCGGACGACGTGGCTTCCCCGCAGGGTGACTGGACGGTGGTAGAGGTGGAGACCTTCCACTGAGCCCCTAACCCTTAGCCCCGCCCACCATGCCCATCCCTGCCTTAGGACCCGCCCCTCTGGCTACGCCTCTGTGTCTTAGACTGCCCGCCTATCTGCTCTCCTTCGGGAGTCTGGCTCCCGTTGGATTGGACGTAGCCCCCTAGAGCCCTAGATTTTGGGTCAGGCTCTCGACCCACCCACGCCTGTGGCCGAGGTCTTTCCCTCGAGCCCCGCCCCTTTGGCCTGGAAACACGCCGACTCCCCCTCGAGCCCCGCCCCCTCCCTCCGCTTAGGCTCCGCCCCGCGTCCTGTGTATTGTCTACCACGCGCTGCCCGAGTTTGCAATAAAAGCCGGGACGCTGCAGCCTGTACGCCTTCGAAGTCGCCTAGGGGGTCTACCGCGGGACGGCGAGAGGGGCTGGGCCTGCCGGTGCTGGAGGCTGTGCGCGAGCGGGTTGTAGCTCCGGCTGAAGGCCTCCCGCGCCCCACGCAGATGTGCCTCTTTGCTAAGGAAAATGGGCGCGTGAGGCAGGCTTGGGGTGGGTCCTGGTGCTGAGTCCCCGGCGCGGCGCCCCCACGCACGTGCGTGAACGTGGGCTTTTTCCTGTCTGACTCGTGGTGGACAAGTTAGGCGCAGGAGCGGCCCGGTGGAATTGCCCGACCACCGGATGAGGCGTGCCCAGCGTTGTTGAACGACCGAAGCTCTTCCTATACTCCCCTAAGGGAGCCGGCAGCTCTTGCGGGGAGGGGGAAAGACGTGCAGGAAGGGCTCGCCCAGGTCCGGGGGCGAGGGTGGGGGACCTCTTCCTGAGGCCCCCTCGTCACGGTGCGCGCCCCTTGACCTCGCACGCCTCGCACGCCCTGTGCCCGCATGCCGAAGGGAGGGGGTCGTCTAAGACCCAGTGGCGATCTCCGTTCCTTCCTGCGCCCTCCCAGCCCGCGGGCACACTGCCCTCCGCTCACCGAGGAGGTTCCGATGCAGAAGGTAGGTCTGCAGCTGCGCCCAGGACTCCTCCGGCCCTGGGGCTCGAGGGTACAGGATCCTCCTGCGTCAGGCTTCCTTGTCCCTGGGGAGCCGACTGTGCTGAGAGGGTTCTGCGGGAAAGGAGCAGCCTCTCCCAAGGTGGGGTGGGAGACCAGGAAGTCCTCACGAGGCCCTTTTGTGCCTCCCAACCCCTGGACCTCATCTTCCCCTCCATCTCAGGGTGTCATCCTCAAGCCCCTCCAGCCAGACAACCTTGCCTGGGCCCACAGTCGAGAGTCCTCAACAAAACTGCCAATCTGTCTTCACCTGTTTCCCCCATCAGAATTCCTGTCCTTCCTCCTGCAACTGAGTCACCTCGACCCTGGACCCCTTTAGCCCCACCCAGACCCGTTCTCCCCAGTGTCACTCCAGAAAATGCAGCCCCTAGGCCTTTTCTCCCTGAGGGTCCTCCCTGGTGGGGGGGGGACCACAATCCGCAGAGCAGGTAAAAGGACAGAGTGGGACACTGTGTTGGACCCTTAGCCCTGTCTCTGTCCCTAGACCCAGTCCCTGTAGTCCACCCTGTAGCCACGTTCCTGTCAGACCTAATCCTGAAGCCCTGCCTGTCCCCACCCCTCATGTCAGTCTGGAGTCCTAGGAGAGAGTCGGCCTTCTCCCAGTGGGACCGGGCACCTCCACCCCTAGGGGCCACGCTCCCCGACTCAAGCTCGGTTCAGTGGCAAGCCACAGAGATTCCCTTTCTAGCTGGGCCCTGCAAGGACCCAGGTGTCCTTGATTCCAGATGCCAGGACAAAGTCAAGGGTAGGGGCTGAATCCTGACATGTTGGGCAGCCAGGGCATCCAGACCACGCCTCTAAGATGGAGCAGGGCAGAACCTCAGACACTTCCCCCAGGGCCCTGCCCACCCCCGGAGCCAGCTGGGGTGGATGACCCTGTGGGAGCAGGAGGGGTGGCAGCTCCTGCCTGGGGGGAGGGTGTCTCAGTGTTAAATCTGTAGGCTGGGAATGGTGCGTGGAGACACCATTGTTGAGCCATGGGTCAATATGTGGGACTTGGCTGTCCTGGTGCATAACCGGTGTCACGCCTTGCTCCCTGGCCGGTACCAGGTGGCAGTGGGTAGGGGCACTTTGGGTGCAGAGGGCAGGGCCTGGTTGGCATCTGCCTGGACCCAACTAAGATTCTCTCCCTGGGAAGCCTCCCTTTGCCATCCCTGGCTCTGCCGCGCCCCCCCCCCCCCGCCCCGCCCCAGGAACCTGACTCAGCTCCGTGCGGAACCCCCCTACGGACCCTGCCTCTCCGGGCCTCCTTCCCCCAGGAGAGCTCCTGCCTACTCACTGTCCCTACTGTCCAGCTGTTTGGGTTCTGCCCTGGCCTCCTGATTGACCCCCAACACTGTGGTCCCTCTGATGGCGCCCCCTCCCCTACCTAAGCCCTCCATGGCTCCTCAGTGCCCTCAGTTCAAAGCACAAATTCTGGCTCCCGACTGGAGAAGCAATTCTCAGTCTGGCCATGCCTGCTGTCTCCAGTTCCTTCCTCATAGGCATCATGTGCCTCCTCTGACCCCGCCAAGTCTCGCTTTCTGCTTTTGCCTTTGGAGAGAACTCCATCCCCCACCCCGCCCCTTCCAGGAAGTCTTCCTGGATTCTTTTGGGTACTCACCCCACTGGTAGGCAGGCTCAGCCCCCCACCCCCACCCCCTTGTCTGTCTCCGCCACACTGGGGACCCCGCAGAGCTGGGCACAAGGCAGAGCACCTGGAAGGCCTGAGGAAGGGTGTGAGGTTGAACAAACCCCAACCAGGTCCTGTATCTCCCTGAAGCTCTGGGGCCCCACATGCCTCCATGTCTCTCCTGGGAGGCCCAAGCATATTGTCCAGGTGGAAAATCAGGCTCCCCATCCAATACCTCCCCCCTGTCACCGTCTCCAGAGCCACCCTTCTGAAAATAGCATGACATAAGCATCCATCTGTCAGCCTGACACCTGGAGTCCTTTGCAACTTGTCCACCCCCGCCCCCACCGTACTATCTCTCCCAGCCCCCACACTTTTGTTCACACTGAGCCAGCGAGTGACCTTTCCTCTCCCTTGCTGTCCCCCAACCCGGGCAGCCTCTTTGGCACCCCTGCTGGTCCCCTACCCCTGATTCTCTTAAACCGTGGGGCAGTCTGATGTCCTCTACACTGCTTTTCAGGACAAGGGGCTCACGGCTGCTTGCAAGCCCCCCAGGCCTGTCGCACCTTGTCTGTGACTGTGTAAATACACTTTATTTTCCATCTTTCCCGCCTGGGCGACGTGTGGCGTGTGAACAGGCAGTGTGCAAAATGGTGGTGGGCAGTGTGGGGGGCACGTGGGAGAGCCCCGTGGGCGCCCACCCTGGTCCCCAGGCTTTTGTAACACTGAGGAGTGGGCAACCGGGACGGGAGAACTGACCATGGGTCCCCACCCCAGGAAGCGCCAGGGAGATTGCTTTTGATGCTGCTCCGGGCTCCAGGAGCACCGACAGGGTCAGGCCCGAGGGTCGCAAGGCCCTGGGGGCAAGGGGCTGGGGGCATCGTTGGACTTTGGCACCGTTCTCAGCTCCGACTCTGCAAAGACCACGGGACCACCATGAGCAGCGGAGGGGAGGTAACCACTGGGAAGAGTCCTCCCCTGGGGAGGGTGGGGCTGGGGCCACAGGGAAGGAAGGGATGAAGAGGCTGGGGACCCCCTTGGAGAGCAGGCTAGCTTGGGTGGGAGAGCCTCTCCATCGTTGGCCAAGACAAGGTGACGGGAGTGTCTCACACAGGAGTATGGGGGGGCGCTGGGGCGAGGGGGGTCTCTTCACTTCCTTGCAGCTGCTCTGGCCCCCAAGAAGCAGGGACAGTCACTGCCCACGCCCGGGCTGGTTTCTGCTGTCCGCTCACACCCCAGGTGGCCCTGCACACAGTAGGGGGGACTTTGGTTTCTGCTGCAGGGGCCATGATGCCTGCACCAGGCAGGAAAGGCCAGCCTGGCCATCTGTGCCCAGCCGCCAAGGGTCCCCAGGGGCATCGTGGGGTGGTAATGTCCAGCCCAGACCCGTCCCCCTTCTTCTTCAGGCCTCCTTTAGCCCCTGGGCCCTTCCCAGCAGGGCCACCCGTGTCCCAGAAGAGGGACTGCTGGGAGGAGGGAGCTTCCTGCGCGTCCAGTCCCGGGACCTCCGGGTCGTCCCCTGCCCTGGCTGTTAAGAGGGGCAGACCCTCCCGGGAACTGGACCCGGAGGGGTACAGACCAAGATGGGTAAACACTGCTGTGGAGAGTGGGCCTGTCGGGGGACCCTGAGGATCCTCAGCCCGCGGCCCTACCCTCTGCACCACGCCGCTCTGGGCCTAGCCCCCGGGTGGGCGGGACCACGGAGCGGAGCGCACGGAGTTTATATCAGGTGTGGCCCCAGGCGGCGGCGGAGCGGGTGGTGGCTCCCTGGCTCCGGCGCGCGGGGCTCGGCCTCAGTTGTCCAGGCCCTGGCTGTAGGGCGCGGCCAGCTCGTCGGCGTCGCTGTCTGAGCTGCCCTCGCTGTCCTTGGCCGGCCGCTCCAGACGGCGGAAGAAGCGCGCGTCGCGCGGGGACAGCGGGTAGAGCGCGTCCTGCAGCGCCGCGCCCACGCCCACGCCCACGCCGAGCAGCTCCTCGTCGGACGACGGCAGCGAGTCCTCGTCCAGGTGCCGCGCCAGGCCCAGCCCGTCGAAGGCCAGCGGGTCCTCGAAGGGCGGCGGGCCCTTCAGCAGCCTCACCTGGGGCGGGGAACCGGCGCGCTGAAGGCGCGGACGGACGCGCCCACGGACGGAGCCCGGCCCGCCAGGCCGCTCCTCCCGCGCCCTCCCGGGCGCCGACGCCCGAGCGTCACCCGCCGAGGACACGCGGGGCTTCCGCCCGTCCCGCGCCAGCCGGGGCGGCCCCGCGCTCACCTCGGCCTTCAGCTCCTCGATCTGGTCCTTGAGCTCGCGGATGTACTGCGACGAGTCGGAGTGGTTCAGCTGGCCCTGGATGCGGCCCTCCTCCCTCTGCGGGGCGGGCCAGGTCACGGGGGGCAGAAGCCGGGCCCGCCCCGGGGCCCGTCCCCCG